TAGAGGAGCTCACAGTGCCTGGGCTGCACAGCAGGGCTGGGTGTGGCTGCTGTCACTCAAGCTGGCAGCTATCATGATAACAGAGATTCAGGAGATTCAGAGAAGTAGAGTCACTTTCTCAAAGTCTCACAGAGGAAATGGGGTGGGTATTTGACCTTCATCTTTGGCTCAAATTCAGGCTCCTAACATGGTGTGAGGGATGCATCACAATGGAACCATGAAGCTTTGCTAGAGATACATTTCTAAGCTGTAGGGGACCGTGATACCTGCATCATAAAGTTCTTCACTCATTCATGCAGCAGCTAGTAAGTGCCAGAGGCTTGGTCAGGTCCATCCAGAGTAGCCTGCAGGGTCCAGAATAGCCAGCTGACATTAGAGTCAACCCAAGGAAGGAGGATGTGGATCCACGGCCCTCCTGATCCTCCTGTTGCACCGCCTGAACTCAGCTCTGACCACAGAAAACTGGGGACACTCGGTGGGAACTCAGCTCTGGGTCTCTTGCTGGATCCCTAGTTCCCACTAAGAGCAAATTATCATAGCTCTTCCTGCTCAGGCCTTCACCAGGATGACTAGGGATAGGCTGCAGTGTCAGCTGGTCCTCTGGCCCCACTGCAGGGTGCTGCCAGAGCCCTAGGGCTGTGGGCAGAGTTAGCTACAGCCTATCCTGGCCCTGCCAGTGTTAAGCAAGCTTAACAATTTTCAGGAAGGTCGGGTTTTCCCTTTGAATCATGCTCCTTAAACACCACCCTGAGCGCCTAGAAAATGCATGGTTCAGCAGCAGCGAAGATCGTCTAAGACAAAGCAGTTACTGAATTCAGCAAGCCAGGTTTCCCAATCTGACACTTCCTGCTTCGTAGGAAAGAAATGAGTCTAGAGAGTCACTGTGTTTAGCACCCATAGTCTCCAAGCGGCGTGCTCTTGACATCTCATTACTAATAGTGCTTGGCTTCTTTTTGGCCCAATGGACCAAGCAGAATTCAGCTGGGAGCAATTTTATGTTTTACATCATCAAATCTGAGCTGGAAAAAGCCAGAGCGCCTCCCACCTTGCTTCCTTTCCTTTACAAATGGACAAAAGGCTGGAAAACCCTTCCTTCTGTGAGGTAGCCTGTCACACATGAACAGTCACTACACACATACGTACACGCAAGCTCACACAGCCTGCTCGGGCCACCTTTATCTACTCAGCAATTGAGAATTGAGCACGTGTCAGACACCATGTTGCGCATGGAGGGTACAGGGGTGAAAGAGCACTGTGTCCACTGTCACAGGGCTGAGGCAGACGAGTGACCAACAAGAAGGCTACACAGCAGAGTGAGGCAAAGGGCACAGGTTCAGAGACCTACATAGCTCAGAGCAGGGGACAGGATTAGGGTTAGAGGGGCCAGTTAAAGTGATGTCTGAGACCACACCCAAAAGACACCAAGTGCAAGGCTCTGCAGCTCTCCGAGGGACCACAGCAGGTATCCAGGTCTAGGACATCACTGTGTGTGTGTGTGCACTCTGTTGATACAGAAAATGCTGAGGTAACCACCACAGGACATGGAATGTTATTCTGGCATAAAAAGGAACAGACTTCCAGACTTGTAGGCCTGTAATCCCTACTACTCAGAAGGCTGAGGTGGGAGGCTTTCAAGTTCAAGGGCAGCTTGAACAACTTAGTGTGACCTTGTCTCAAAATGAAAAGGAAAAAGGGCAGAGAATGAAGCTTAGTGGCAGATGACCCCTGGTTCAATCCTGAGAACTGTTTTAAAAAAAGAAAGAAAAAACAATAGGAATAGGAATAGTCTCCTGATCTATGCTGCCAAAAAGATGATTGTGGGCCTTGAAAACATTATTCTAAGTGGAAGAAACTAGCTTGCACATTGTAGGACTCCACTGAGAGTGTCCACGTCAGTGGACAGATTCGGAGAGCAAGAAAGCAGACAGGGGTTCCTGGGCTTTGGGGGTTGGCAGAAAAGAGGAGTGACAAGGGGGTGCTTTGTGGCCTCTGCTCTCTTGGTTAGTTAATCTTAGTTTGCACCAACTGTGGGTCAGGGCTGGCCTTTGGTTAAAACTCAGCAAAGCTTAAAAGAAGCTGGTAGTCATAACAGAGAAGCATCCTACTTCACAGTGGGACCCTTTGCACCAACATTTTGCCACCCTATCATGGTTCCAGTCCCCTCTTCCACCCGCTGTGGGGTCCTCTGTGCATGGTAACTTGCTTCCCCAGGCCCTCAGCACCAGGACAGCAGGGAAGGGACCTCAGATGCTACTCTGCCCTGCTGCCAAGGGACCCAGGAATCTTTTACTCTTCTGGTGAGAAATCTGGCCAGTGACCAATTTTTTATGGGGGTTTCAAACTTCAAACATCAACTCAGTTATGTATTTAAAAATTTACGTATGTGCACACAGGATATTCACTTAGTCGGACCTCTGATGCTTACTAAAGGCAGAGCTAGTGCCTGATGGTGGTCAAGTGTGAGAGGCAGGAGTCCAGTGCCTCCCTGTGCGCTGCCCTCTCCTGGAAAGGCCGAAGCACAAACACCATCACCAGGAGGCAAAGCATACTTGGGGGTGTACAGACCCCTAGGCTGGTTAGATGTTAGCATGTGCCTTCCAGAATGGTCACAGGCCTGGTGAAGAGCTGTCCAAACCTCCAAGCAGCCCACAAAACACTCATTGGAAATGCCAAAGAAAAAAATTGGGAGGGTGGGTGGTCTACTATTTCACCAGGCAGGACTCTTGGGAGTCTCCCCCATCACTGATTCCAAGCAGAATTGTCAAGGGTTACGCTGTCTGCGGTTACTTTGCTGCTGTGTCAGTAGAACCAGGGAGAGTAAGATGAAAGTCACAGCTGGGAACTCAGGATGAGCCCCACCGTGGGAGAGTTGTGAACAAGCTGTGCAGGGCCAGAAGCAAAAAGCAAGGGCAAGAGTGGCAAGCAATATCGCCTCGCTGTTACAGACGCCAGCATGCACCTTCCTTTGTCTGCCACGGTCCGGGGTTGTCAACCTTGCAGCATAATAACCAACCCCTTTTCACTCGAGACGCTGTCCTGCTTTGGATATTAAAACCTGATTTGTCATCAGAAAAACAGCCACTTTGATTTCACTTATTGCGCACTTCTAGAGTGGCCAAACCAAGCAGAGGGGAGAAGGGTCATAGCCAGAGGCCGGAGAAGCAGATCTGGGGCACTGCTGTGAAATGGACACAATTTCAGTTTTGCACACTGAAGAGGGTGCTGGAGATTGCTGCATAACTCTGTGAGAACCCTCAGCACTACTGAACCGCACATTGAAAACAATGGTATATTTTATGTTATGTGAATTCTATTACAATTTTAAGAATCTTTTGGTTAGATGACTCTGAAACCCCACCCACAGTCAGAGTATCACATATTTAGGAAGGTGAAAACCAAGAGAGCCCTTTTAGAAAAGTCCTTGAAAGAGGTGTGCTGTGAGTTCTCCACTACACACTGGGGAGGGAGAAGCTGCTGACTAACCCCCTCAAACCTAGGAAGACAGGGTTCACCAACCCCGAAGTCAGGAGAGTTGGAAGAGAGATGGAGTCAGCTGGGAGCACTGCTGTGGTTTGGGGCCTTTTATTTCTTTGCAGTACTGGGGAATGAATCTAGGGCTTTTACACTTAACTACATTTCCAGACTCACTTTTACTTTTTATGTTGAGAAAGGTCTCATTAATTAATGTCATTAAATCACCCAGGCTGGGCTTGAATTTGTGACTCTCTTGCCTCAGCCTCCTAGAGTGCTGAGATTACAGGTGTGTGCTGTCACGCCCAGCTAGTTTGGATCTTAAGTGTCCCAAAAGGCCAACACGTTAAAGACTTGGTTCATAGGCTGGATCTACTGAAAGGTCATAAAATGTTTAATAGGCGAGCACAGTGGGAAGTTTCTAGGTTATTGGGGACATCCCCTTTAGGGCAACTTTGAGACCCCAGCCCTTCCTGTTCTTTTCTTTGCTTTCCTGATAATGAGTTGAGCAGTTTTGCAGTAAGGCACAATGTGCTGCCTTCCACACCAAAACAACACGGCTAACCAACCATGGACCTGAACTCAGAAACCGTGAGCCAAAAGGAACTTTTTCTACTACAAGTTGATTATCTCAGGTATTTTTGTTACAGTGCTGGAAGGATACCAAACACTGTTACGAAACACTGAATGTTGTAATTTCTTACTAGAAGCTTGTTTTGCTATTTAAAGTGATTGTGTGCCTTTATATTACACCCGAGTGATCAAAAAAGCCAGCAGATTGCCTGTGGTTGTATCAAGGGCCAGGAAAGAACACATATAGAGGAAGAGAGTGAGATAAAAGAGGTTTGTCTTTGAGTCTCATGCGGTCAATGTTCTTCTTTTACATTGCAAAGGCTTTGGCTTTCAAGCCAGAAAAACCAAATCTATTCATAGGTCACTACTGGTTCGTGGTTCCTCTGGAGACTGAGGCTACTGGATGCTTTTCTGTAGTGCTCTGGTATCCAACAGGAGCATTTGGTTTTAATTTGCTTGCATCCAAGGTCAACGGGGTTGTGTGAGCTGTGGGAATCTGCCTCTGCAGAGATGTTAGAAGTCAGCAGATCTCGAGGGAGTTGCAGGGTGTCTGGTTGGGTGGATGTGTGCATGTTACAGACACCCAGCACACTGCTTGACCTCCTACTGTCCACACAGCCAACACGCTATTTATATAGGCTTTCTCGGTGCTGCTGGGACATGTGCTGCTCAGAATAGTAAGGTCAGACAACCTGGGAGACCATGCAACTGTGTGGGAACTGAGGAAGCCCTGCAAGATGACAGGCCAGAAAGTTTGTAGGCACTTAGGGAGGGAAATGACTTCGGATAATCTACTTAGATCCAGCTTGGGCTTTGACTCATGAGAGAACAGTCTGAGTAGTCAAAGACAGACACAGCTTAACTTCTGAGAAACTCATTTTTTTCTTTTCTACTACTTTTTTTTTCTGGGGAAAATACTGCATTTCTTTCATTTACTCCTCCCTCAGGCACAAAAATGAACTCCTCTTCCTGTTTCTAGTTTCAAAGTTCGTTTGATCTTAAGAGTCCTGATCAGTTCAACCAAACCACCTTCTCCGGGAGGAAACTAAGTCCCAGGGCGGTGCCTCGTCTTGCAACAGGGGAGCTGAACTGTCTTCAATACCAGCCAGACACCTGGTGAGCACAAGCTACAGCGGGCACCTGAGCTGAGGCAGGTGCAAAGCTCCCTAAGAGTATTCAGGCCCAGGGACTGATCCCAGAGGCTCCTCAGAGCTTGCATGTGCTTCTTCCCCGAGATGTCCTCTAACCCACCATTTGGGAGAGACCAGGACAACTGCATCCCTCCCTTCCTGTTCCTTTGCATAGGAATCATCTCCTGTGACAGTTTCTCTGTAAGAATTCTCTGTGCAGATGAGATGATGCTATTTTTTCCTGTTCACAGACAGATCGACCTTCCTCAAAGGTGACACCAGCATGAGCTGCAGTAAGAATACAGCAGGAATACACTGGTCCTCGTGCCTGGACTCAGAACAGCTCCGCAGGAACCTGTGGGAACGGAGGGACCTTGGCTTCCCAGATCTAGTAACCAAGAAAAAAATTAATCCTTTTAACAAAGAGATGTTGTTTGCTCTTCTAGGTGAGCCCGCCTCTTTTGTTTAGTATGAAAGAGACTAAGGATATTTTCTGTGTCAAGGGTAACAGTGCTTTTATCTTGGGGAACCAGACACTCTTTGGGAAGTAAACTCACTTAAGATGGGGCTAGGTCCACCCTGCATCTTACAGTCTCCATTTAACAGCTAGAGAAAAGAGGGGCAGAGAGAGATTAAATAAACCATCATGACTTTTCTGAACACAGTGGAGTTAACAGCACTCAAAATCTTCTTTTGAGGAGATTTACCTTGAATCTTTACAAAATACCTTTCTATAAAAGGTGTAATTGCTATAGGAAGGAAATTGATTTTAACAGACTAAAACATCTTTCTAACAAAAACAAAGTAGAATCACATAGACAGTCCTTTGTCAAGTGCCTGGTCATGTGGCAATGCTCCTTGAACTTCACAGTGTGTGCCTGAGTCACCTTGAGGGCTTGGGGAGGTAGATTGTCCAGGGTTTCAGTCTTCAGTTTAGATGAGGACCTCACTTCTCCAAGAGAGGTAACTGCTGCTGACCCAGGAACCACACTTTAAGAACCACTAATGGCAGAGACAGTGCTGAACCGATCAGCCGGTCCCCCAGGAGAGGCTGTCTCCAGGATTCCTCTAAGCCATAGAGAGCCTTGACCCCGGGTTAAGACCCTCTCTGCAGGGTCACCTGGAGCCAATGTCTGGTTGGTGCTAGGACATGAGGTCAGTTGAGACCAATGGCCCTGAGGGTGCATCCCCTGCGGCAGGCAGGAAGGGAGAAGAGAAGTGGCTCTGGGAAGGTGGGTGATGGTTGTTGTTCCCAGCTGAGGCTGTGTAGTATACCCGGCTCATACAGAGATACCAGTTCTGCCCAATCTGGCCTCTGTGTGTCACTGTAGCAGGTAAACTCAGGTCAACCCTCAACTGAGACCTGGGATGACTCAGCTTCCCCCTGCAACCTCATATGAGGGGCACTACATTGTTGAGAATTTCACATTCCGCCCCTTGAAGTTCTAACATCAGTTCAGCATCTTCAGCTGACTACGATTCTTCTATGGGGAGAGAGACAGGGCCTTTTGCTCACAGAGATGGCACTGCCATGTTTGATACTGGTGGTTCACAGAGGGCTGTGTCTAGGACTGATGCTTCCCTACTGAGATCTGGCCACCATCGGATGCACACACAGATCAAAGCATCATATCCCAGCTCATAAGAATGCACAAACTTGATATGCCCATCAAAGAAAATTCTTCACATCAGATTAAGACCTCGGTTTTCTTAGACCATTACTGCTCTTGTCCTCTCTTTATTGGAGAGTTATTTTCAAATAGCAGATTCTGGTAAGGGCATTGCCCACTTCTTCCTCAGTCCTGGTCCTCAGCCTTGGGCCATCCCTAAGACGACCCAGGATCAGGGACTTTCGAGCATGGTACCAAACCCTCCTGGGGCCACTCAGGCTGCTCTGGAATCTGAAGGATAGTAGAGAGGCAAAGGGAGGCGGCCCTTTGATCCTACACTGTGAATGAGCCATGCTGCAAAATGTGAAGAATGCTAAACAGACTGACTAGACTTTCTCTCCCTGGAGTGCACAGGGTGTGGTTTCCAAGGAGAACACAGAGGCTGGAATGAGAAGGCTGCCAGCCAGCCCCCGCCAAGCCAGAGGGCTCAGCAGCCAGCCTCTGAGTCAAACTTACCCAAAACGGAGCTGAACACTAAGTCAGCAGTAGCACAGTTCTTATCATGCTGAATAATTTAGCAGCGCCAAGCCGCTGGGAGTCAGCTCATAGTTAATGGAATGTTTCCTGTAAATATTATTTTTCCTTCCTGTCTCATCATCTTATACAGTTCAGAAATCTTTACTAATCTGGGGAGGTGACAGCAATGCATCAATTCCCATGGCCAAAGCCCCTCTTCTGAAATACTCCTAGGAATCACAGGAAGCCACACTGGCTGCTCAGGAACAGGGGGCAGGCCAATTACTCTGGTTCTTTGTCCTAATGCCTCAGCAGGGACCCCATAGGGCTGCTAATTGTACATCTAAGTGTACATAAAAGCCCCCCTAATTGCACATCCAATAAATAAGTGAACACTGTCTGCTGAATACAGAACAGGGAGTCGCCATTCATTCCCAATGGAGAGCTTTCATTCACTGTGGGCTGGTGAGTGGGCTGAGCTCCACGGCTGCTCTACAAGCCCCTTCTGGGAGGTTCCCATGAATCACTGCCTTCACACTCTTTGCTCTCTGATGCTTCCAGACTCTTATACACGTTGCATGAGGGACCAGATAGCCAGTCTGTCCCCAGGTTTGAAGAATGTAAAAGACAGGAGTCAGGCAGAGAACAGAGAGTATTGCTACTGTCAGTGAGCTGAGACCTCGGTGTGGAAGTGACACCTGTGGGAGTGGTGCCACTAGGAAGCTGCCAACTGAGTTCAGAGCTGTCATACTTCCTCAAGCTTTGGCCTAAGGACAGTGGGGGACATGCTACTCTCTAAAGAAAGCTCCGCTGAGGTAGACTTATTTATCTCTGTCTATGGGATGACAATTCTGTGACAGTTAATAAACACAGCTTCTTCAATGAATATCATTTGCTTTTCATTCAAATGTTTTCAGGGAAGAAAGAGTAAATATGCTACTTACATCAGCACATTATGGCCAGGCAAGGGCATTGCTACTGGTCATTTTTCTGTTTATGGTGGCAAACAGGGCTCTGTATTTCACTGTAGTTGCAAACTAAGAGGTAGTTCAAGATTCACCTCAGGTGCCCAAATGCCAGTTGGACAGCACAGTGCACCTTGGTTCCTGAACGTAATTCTTGCTGGGCTTCTGGTCATAAACCAACGTGGACAAGAACTGAATCAGATTCAATGGTTAGGTTCAACGTTGATCTTATGGGGGAATTTAATTTGGTTGTCATCCAATTCAGTTTGCAAACAGAATCATGGAAAGAATTAAGTTTGTGAACAGAGTTACCACTGCATTTCATTATTCCCTGAAGGCAGCAGGACTCCAACATGCAAAATATTGAGCCTTTCGCCTTGGCAGAACTCATTTCTACATACATACAGTCATCGACACAAACTAGAATTCAGGAACTAGCACAAAATTAGAGTAAAATAAACTGAGTACAATAACACACACCTAAAATTCCAGCACTCTGGAAAACCGAGGCAGGATGATCACAAGTTTGAGCCCAGCCCGGGAAATTTAGAGTCTTGGTAAGACCCTGTGTCAAAATATAAAATAAAATGGGTTTGGGGATGTAGCGCAGCACGAAGGCCCTGGTGAGCTGCAAGAGAGATGGATTTATTTTGTCACCATGACTCCTCAGGTTTCTCTCCCAGTGGCCAAAGCGAAACAGACAAGTGGCCCTGATCAGCGTCTGTCCTTGATACCACTTGTGCTATGCGTGGACGATCAACATGATTCATGGGAAACGGGAGGGCTACGTCATCAAAAGGGATGCTTCCCAGTGCCGTGTGACATGCGCATGCCAATCACTCAGTGGCAGGGAGGCAGGCAGAATGTGGAAGGGAAACACCGCTGGGTGAAGGGTGGAAAGACAAGGATCTTCTGAGAGCTGGTTAGGATTTACTTACAAATCATAAGCATCTCTGCAGCCCAGTGTGAGCAAGAAGGTCCACACCAGATGCACACTCCCCTTTGCCACTCAAGCAAGCAGGCCTGCACTGGACTTTCGGTGACCCTCCCCCCTACACGGTGCCAGATACACAATGTCCCTGCCCACCAGGGACCTCCCCTCCCTCAGCAAGCAGGTCTGTGTCAAACATTCGTGGTTCCCTCGCCTCCATGCAAGAAAACAAACTTCCATCAATTCCAAATGAGCTCTACATTTTGCTTCTCCTTAGTATGGGGGAGCAGAAGAACTAATTAGCCAACTTGATCCAGGATGAGGACACTGCCTGGGGACAGAAGGGAGCAACCAGACCCCATGATTGTTGACACTGAGTCTGAGAGTCCACTTGAACCTCACCCCACAGCCTCCATCTAGCAGAGACCAGAGGGCTGATCACATTCCCTACCTACCAACGGGAGGAAGGACACACCTTGGCTCGGAAGCTTACCACAGTCTGGGGTGAATGGACAGAGAGGCCTCTGGTGCGGGGAGGGTGCCCCAAAAACTCATAGGCCCTAAAGCTGGATAAAATCAGGACTGGCTGGATCCCAAGACAGCTGATTTTGGAAAGAAGCCACTCATTCAAAAACACAAGTTTTTTTTTTAGACTCAAGGTTTTTTGATTTTTCTGTTTTTTAATATTTTTATCTTTCCTTCATTAAGTTTTTGGGGAGTATGGGTCCTGCACTTTGGAGTTTTTTTTTCCATTTTTTTCTTTTATCCTTTTAACATTTTTCTCTTTTCTTCTTTTATTTCTTGCTTCTGTTCTCTGCTTATCTTTTCTTTTTCTTGTTCATTCTTTCCTGTGACTGCCCTCTAATACTATTAATCTCTTTTTCTCCCTCAATAGGACCCTCATCTCACTTTTCTCTCTTCTTTCTCATATCCCATCAATTAATTTTTCAACTTTCCCATTTTTCTTTACCTTTAATATAACTACTAAGCATTATGAATCTTTAGATAGCTATTACGTGTTTGCTGTTGGTTTATGCTATTTGAGGTAAAGTTGTTCCACTTAGTAGATATTTACTGTAGGTCAATATTTGATTTGTCTTACTGTTCATGCTATAAATGTAGGTGGCTTCTCTATGGTTAAGGGTGGTGTTTGTAATGATAAGTTTGTGTTTGATGTGACCACTGATATTGATTTTATTACTATAGCCAGGGTTATACACCTTAGCTCTTAATTGGTTTTCCTGGAATGCCAATATCTGAATATGGTTATTAGCAACACTGTGGTCCATTCCTGGACAGCTGGGAACTGTGCCAAATATGCTGCAACCTCCCGGCCCAAGCGAATGGAGGTGATGGGATCCTGGAACGGAGACAAAGGCCAACAGCCACATCCAGAGGACAGCACTGAAAGGCAGACGTTT